AACTTCAACTTGTTTAAGAAACCATACGCATCTGCGCCATTCAGACTCCATCGCCACTAATCCCGCCTGTTCGTGTTCCAATCGCCAACCCCGGCCCACTGTGACCTTGGGGCCTTCATCTGTTCCCCAACAGGTATATCAATGTGTTTATTTAATGGTTATTTGTTATGTTGTAAATAATTAAATCTTGTAAATATTTTGAGAATTGTCTGCAAGGGTGCTTGATTGTAAGGGGAGGCTCTCCGCTCAGGGGCACTACAGCAGCTTCCCAGGATCCCACTATTCAGGTAAGGGCACGTGTAGTGTCGCGCCCAGGGTTACATGCAAAATAGGAAAACCTGATATCATTTGTAATTCTTCATCCCCTCATCCAGATTTCCAAATTTATTTTACTTTAAAAATTCAAAAGGATAACTGAGTTAGAAGTCTTGAGGAAATAAATTGGGTTATGGTAAAAAAAAAATAAAATAAAAAAGCTTTTAAGTAAAATTTGGTTGTATTATGGAATCAAGGATAAAATAAAAACATTAATGCTCTGTGCATTATACCCAAAACAAACTCCAGGCAGCAAATTGCAGTTATCATAAAAACTTTAAGAAGAAATATGTGCATAACTTCTCTTAAAGGTCCGTGTAGTTAATTAACAGCAGAAGAAAGTGGAGGTTTTTGTGCAACTTGCACCCCCTAGTAAAATATACTTCTGAGAACTAATCCCAGGTCATTGGAAATTTAACTGAGCAGAAGTCAATAAGAGTTTGGCCTTTGTAGGGATTAACATAAAACCAAACAAGGCCTTTGAAGCAGAGGCAAGAAGAAATGTCTGTTTCTAGGGAGGCAGCAGCTGCTGGGACAGTGGTGGCAGCTGAGCCAAGGACAGTGACAGCCACCATTTTTTAGCCCCTTTTAAATCAGTGCTGGGGGTTGGTACCCTGTTTGCCCACCACTAGTTCTGTTATGGCTTTGAAGTCTCTAAATAATTCATAAGGAGTTTGCTTCAAGTAAGAAATCACCAGCAATATTCCCACTAACTTCCCTGGGTTTTGGATCTGGCTGAAGGCTACACTGGTATTTACATGCATCTTAATACAGTATTTGTAAGAAATATTAACTATTTGACACTTTAAAAAAAATAAAAGACATATGAAATGTCTTATTTCTTTAACCTCCCATAAAACACAGCACAGAAAAGTGTTTTTCACCAATAAAGGCTTCAAACACAGAAATAATGGGTGCCTTTCTTTTTTCAGCAGGACTTATTACAACTACTGCTGCTGTATAATTAAGTAATAAGGCACTGTGACTATGCAGGCTAGGAAGACGAATTGTGGCCTTCTCGTGAACCTACAATTGATTTAATATGACACAGTGGTTTGGCTTTCTAGGACATGTTGCTTGTGGGAACTGATTCAAATTGCTTACAGTATATTAAGTAGTTATAGTTCCTTAACAAAATAACAAGGCAAATACTGGTTTAGGACATATTACCAATACTAATTGAAGAATTATAAAGGCTAAAGGCAATTTATGATGGTTGGTACCATTCTTTATAAATATTGCACAGTAGCAATTTTACAGCTTTATTACAAATCTATCATGTTTGCAGCTAGCCATGAGTCCCAGTATATTTAACAGCATAGGAGTAGTTCCTAATAATAAGACTGGGGAAGTAAGCAATTTGCCTGCTAGTCCAAAAATTAAATTATTCAGATCAACTTGACTTTGTTTTTTTTCCTAACTGAAACAAAAAAAAAGAAATGTCAACCCAAAAGTTCTCCTTGACCCAAGAAAACCAAATCACTTTTAAAATGTCAAAAACAATTTTTCCTTTATTCCAAACATCAAGCACCTCTAATAAATACCAAGGAAATGCCGTGCTCAATTCACAAAATTCCTGGTGCCTTTTCCCCAGTAGCCCAATGATTAGGTAACTCACCCATGCTGCAGCAGACCCAGAATTAAAATTCTCTCTCTACCCAAGAAGATTTGAAACCACATCACTTGCCTATCAAGAAAAGTGACCAATCCAGCATGCTATAAAATACTTGATTCTAATTCAGTACAAAAAAAAAAATCTAAATAGCTATCGAGTCAGACAGTGAAAAAAAAAAGGAGAGCGCTAAAGTAGAGAGTTTCTTTATAATGTGGTCATTACAATGCTCTCCTGGGTCTGCTCAGTAGTCCACTGAATATAAGTATTTTATACAAAACAGAACAGCATCAACAGGAGCATGTGAAAGCAAGCCACTCCAAAGCCCCCATGGAATCCAGGCATCTGAGAGGTGGGTGATGTGGATTCAGTTCCCCCAAACAAAGGAACACTTTGAATCTGTCTCTCCTACATCCTGCAAGAGTGCACTAACCTCTGGGCTATTATACAAAAGGCAGAGCAATGATACAATAACCACTACTTCAGCCTCCACAGATCTATACCATCATTTCCTTGGGTGTATCTACGAGACACTTTACTGCACAATAGAGAAAATTACTGCATAGTAAGTGCCCCCTACACATGCAGACCCTTACTGCACAATTATTTGCTCTACTTGGCAGTTAATTTGCTACCTACAAATTCAAGTAGCAAATTAACTGCCAAACAGTTACTGTGCAATAAGGCACTTGTAGACGGCTGATGGGAAGCAAATTTGCTCCCAATCAGCTGTGTAGCAAGGGGTAGGAAATTGCTCCCTGTCCCTGGGAGCTGCCTGCTGCTGGGGCAGCATCGGATACCAGATTCCAGGGAGGCACAATATCCCCCTGCCCTGGCAGCAGGGAGCTCCCTGACTCAGCTCCATGACCGCCCAAGTTCTGCCACCTGAACCCAGCCCAGCACAGAAGTAGGCAGCCCCTAGAGACAGGGAGCTATTTATTTTCTGTGCTCAATGCCAGCCGCTGGGCTAGCACCCAGGAGGAGCCTAGGGCTCACCCTGGCTGCTGCAGGGACCAGTGCAGGGCCAGAGGAGGCAGGAGCAGACTGCTGCCAGGAGCAGTATATCTGCTCCCAAATGGGCGCATGTGTAGACACCTAACCAGTGTGGGTTTACTCCAGAATAAATTGCTCTGCAGTAAACCCACCCAGCAGCATTTGCACATGTAGACATGCCCCTTGGCTTTTATTATAGGGCTGGAAAACAAACTGTTTTGACATTTCCTAAACGTTTTGCCAATTTCATTTCAAACAAAAGGGTTTGGCAAGTCTGACTCAAATTTACAAATATCTCTGAGCACACAAAACTACAGTATTTGACAAATAAATAATCCATCCAACTTTAATAATAACAGCGAGAACTTGTACAGGGAAAAATACTGTACTTCAAAGCTAATAATGTTCCTGGTAAAAGAAAACTGCTTACCTGTTTGTCTATTTGAAGCAGTAACTCATAACTGAAAATAAATAAAAATGAGCAACTATTCAGAACAAGGTTGCCTCTACAGCAAACTAATTGTAAGACAGAGAGCTACTTTCTGCAGGAGTTAGGACCAAGGAACTCAACTTTTAACATGGTCAGCAGCATTAAACCTTCACTGTTGTCACCACCTAGTTGTATGAAAGGCTAAGCTACCTAGAGTCTTCTCACAGTCCTACAGAGAATAAAAAGCAGCAACATGTAATTGGTACCACTCTCCGATAAAGCAGAATAAATAATTCAACATTAGTCTCAATTAACTGGGGGGGAAAAAAACAGTGAAAGGTTACATGGCTCTACCTTTAATAAGGCCAAAATTTCACCCTAAAGTCAATGAAAGTTTTGCCATTGACTTGAATGGGACCAGAATTTCATCCCCAAAATTTAATTTAACAGCAGAAATAGCTTTGATCTGATATCTATAGAAAGCTAAAAAAAAGGATTTCAAATTAACTTTTTTTTTGTCCTGAGGACACTACATTACTTCATTAAACTATTAAGACTGTTTCTTTATTTGCATACTTATCACTGTCACAATTTAGATGATTTAAGAAGGTGAATTAATTCAGTACAGAACAATAGGCAACAACCCCATTTTTTTAAACAACTCCTGGTAGAACCAGGGGGTTATTTTTATATGATGGAAGGACATTTTTTATTGGTCCTATTTCTCCATCAAAATTACATTGGTCTGTTACATTTTTATTTGCACCTCATTGTTAGAAATTAATCAAAATTAATGACAACTTTCATATACAACCAAAGGTGAAGAAAGAGCAAAACAGCCCCTTCTTGGCTCATGTTTTCATCCTTATAACTTTTTCATCTCAGTTGATCAGCTTCTTCCAGTTCCATAAACCTGCAGCTTTAACTGTATGTACTGAACAACAGGAGAGTTGATATCACCCTCATTTTATTACATCATTATTCACTTTGTCGGGGATCTTACTAACTCATTAACATTCATTTTTGTAAAAAGGATATTGTAAATATATTAAAAAATTAAAGCTTTTTAATGATTTTTCATGTTTAAAAACAAGAAGAAAATAGCAGGAGAGAAATTTAGTAACCATTTTCATATTCAAGGCACTTTCTAGCCTCCATCACTATCATAAAACTAAAAAATATTGTTGCAATAAATACTTGATAATATACTGTGTATGTTACATCAAAAAATAAAATCAGCTGTCTCCATCTGCTGTCTATCAACGGTATCAGGACAAAAAAGATGGTTTAGCACCATGACAGTGAACCTGAAACATATATGCTTGAAATAGCACATGATTCTAGTTCAAGTGGCACATAACCTAGATAGAGTCTCATGAACTGTGGGGAGCTGATAAGCCTGAAATTCTTGTTGCTAAGGAACAATGATGCCTTTTAAGTCTGCGTAGTGTTCTAACTGTCCTGAGTACAGATGTCATAAGCTTCCTGGTTCTCAGAATTCAGAAGTTGTAGACCTATGGAAGGAGCACCCATTCTACATTCTCTCAGATTTATTTTTGTTCTTCTCCTGTCGCCGTTTAGTCTAATCATTCTGACTGTAAATGGCTGTTTACTCAGATATCTAGAATATCTATTAGTTTTCTGCCATTTATAGTGTCTACTATTTATCTAATATAATGCCCAAATGTATAATGCTGGTGGATTCGCACTTATGTCTAGTATTACAGCAGATAGAGTCATCATAAGACAAGGAAAACGGAAGGATGTAAGGGAACAACAGCCAACCACAAAGATAGAGTCTCATCACCCAGTATCATTGTATTATTCTGAGATACCAATGCTCAGAAAGGTTCCCCCCACCCCGTACTATAATTGGCAAGTACAAAACCTTGAGTTTGCCTAGCAGGCAGTAAGTTATAACTTACTGTAATATTAGGGGCTTTTCTATCAACATTTGCAAAATTAGCAAGAAATCTAGCACTAACCTAGGATTTCACTGACATTCAGACAAACACAAATTCATTTTGAATTAGGTTATTTAACATCA